TTTTTTATTAATTAATTTATTTATTTTTAGTTTTCAACATTCACTTCCACAAGATTTTGAGTTCCAAATTTTCTCCCCTTCTCTCCCCTCCCCACACCCCAACATGGTGTGCATTCTGAATACACCTTTCCCCAATCTACTCTCTGTTCTATCTCTCCCCCCCCTTCTCTTATCCCCTTCCCCTTCTATTTTCCTGTAGGGCAGAATAGATTTCTATACCACTTTACCTGTATATCTTATTTCCCAGTTGCATGTGAAAAACAATTCTTAACATTCTTTTTAAAACTTTGAGCTCCAAATTCTCTCCCATCCTCACTCCCGACCCACCTTCATTGAGAAGGGAAGCAATTCAATATAGGTTATACATGTGGAGTCATGCAAACCATTTTCATAGTAGTCATATTGTGAAATTTCCCTCCATCCTATTCCACCCCACCCCTTTCATTCTATTCTCTCCTTTGATTCTGTCCCTCCTCAAAAATGCTTGCTTCTGATTACCCCCTCCCCCAATCTGCCCTCCCTTCTATCATCCCACCTCTTAGCCCCTTCTCTCCTATTTTCCTGCAGGTTAAGATAGATTTCCATACCTAATTGAGTGTGTATGTTATTCCCTCCTTAAGCCAAATCCGATGAGAGTAAGATTCATTCATTCTCTCTCACATCCCCTCTTCTCCTCCACTGTAAAAACTTTTTGCCTCTTTTATTTGAGATAATTTACCCCATTCTACCTCTCCCTTTGTCCTTCTGCCAGTATAATCCTCTCTCAGCCTTTAACTTTATTTTTTAGATATCATCCCTTCATATTCAACTCACACTGTGCCCTCTGTGTGTCTATCTATCTAGTTATCTATCTATATTGTGTGTGTGTGTGTCTATGTGTGTGTGTTCCCTCCAACTACCCTAATACTGAGAAAGTTCTCATGAGTTATCAATATCATCTTTCCATGTAGGAATGTAAACAGTTCAACTTTAATGAGTCCCTTATGATTTATCTTTCCTGTTTACCTTTTTATATTTTTCTTGAGTCTTGTATTTGAAAGTCAAATTTTCTATTCAGCTCTGGTCTTTTCATCAAGAATGCTTGAAAGTGCTCTACTTCATTGAATATCCATTTTCCCCTGAAGGATTATACTGAGTTTTGCTGGGTAGATGATTCTTGGTTTTAATCTTAGCTCCTTTGACCTCCGTAACATCATATTCCAACCCCTCCAATCCCTTAATGTCTAAGCTTCTAAATCTTATGTTATCCTGAATGTGTTTCCAAAATACTTGAATTGTTTTTTTTTCTTTTTTCTCTCTTTTTTTTTTTTTGTGTGTGTGAGGCAATCAGGGTTAAGTGACTTGCCCAGAGTCACACAGAGCTAGGAAGTATTATCCATCTGAGGCCTGATTTGAACTCAGGTCTTCCTGACTCCAGGGCCAGTGCTCTATCCACTGCACCACCTAGCTGCCCCCTTGAATTGCTTCTTTCTGGTTGCTTGTAATATTTTCTCCTTGACCCAGGAGCTCTGGAATTTTGCTATAATATTTTGGGATCTCTTTCAGGAGGTGATTGGTGGATTCTTTTAATTTCTATTTTACCCTCTGGTTCTAGAATATCAGTTTTCCTTGATAATTTCTTGCAAAATGATGTTCAGGCCTTTTTTTTTTAATCTTGGCTTTCAGGTAGTCCAATAATTTTAAAATTATCTCTCCTGTATCTATTTCCCAGGACACTTTTTTCCCCCATGAAATATTTCACATTGTCTTCTATTTTTTTCATTCTTTTGGTTTTGTTTTATAATTTCTTGATTTCTCATAGAATCATTAGCATCCATTTACTCCATTCTAATTTTTAAGGAATTATTTTTTTTCAGTGAGCTTTTGGACCTCTTTTTCCATTTGGTCAATTCTGCTTTCTATGGTATTCTTCTCCTCATTGGCTTTTTGGACCTCTTTTGGGTTAGTCTATTTTTCAAGGTGGTATTTTCTTCAGTATATTTTTTTTTTGGTCTCCTTTAGCAAGCTGTTGACTTGTTTTTCATGATTTTCTTGCATCACTTTCATTTCTTTTCCCAATTTTTCCTCTACTTTTCTTACTTGTTTTTCAAAATCCTTTTTGAGCTCTTCCATGGCCTGGGACCAATTCATATTTTTCTTGGAGGCTTTGGATGTAGGAGCTTTGACTTTGTTGTCTTCTTCTGGTTGTATGTTTTGATCTTCTTTGTCACCAAAGAAAGATTCTATGGTCTGACTTTTTTTGCACAGTTTGCTCATGATCCCAGCCATTTACCTGAGTTATAAACTCTTTATTAAGGTAGGGGTCTGCTTCCAGTGTGGAGAATGTACTGTCCCAAGTTTTGGGGGTTTTGTGTAGCTGTTTTCAGACATACTCCTAGGGACCTGTTCTTCCAAGGTGGTATGATCAAGGGTGAGGTGTTTACTCCTTTCCTGGCCTGGGCTCAGCTGTGTTCTATGAGTGACCACAAGCACTCTTTTCTGCCTTGGAACTGTGAAGAGGATGACCTCTCCACCCCCACCACAAGCTCCACCATGCCAGTGCTCCTCCTCACCCCAGGACCACCTCCTAGGAGTGCTTTAAGCACAGGCAAAGTAAAAGAATCCTGCCTTAGTACCAACAAAGAGATCTCTGCAATTCCCCTCTGATCAGCCACTCAATGCCCCCACCATCTGTGTGCCAAGTGCTCAGGCTGCATCTGTGGCAACCATCCTGGGACTGTGCTAGGGCCAGGGCTGGACCATGCTGTTCTCTTACCCAGTTCTGACAGACCTTTCTCATTGACCTTCTAAGTTGTCTTTGGCATTTGTGGGTTGAGAAGTCTGTAAACCACCATAGCTGCCCATGATTCAGTCTCCTGAGGCCTGCTCTTGGTTTGCTTTGGCCCAGTCTTTGTAGATACCACCCATGCTGAACTGTGCTCCTCTTCCAGCCCATTGCAAAAGACCTTTCCCATTGACTATCCAGGTTGTCTTGTCCAGGAAATTTGTTTCACTCTGTCTTTTTGTGGGTTCTGCTGCTCTAGAATTTGTTTAGAGTCACTTTTTACAGGTATTTGGAGGGGTTTGGGGGAGAGCTCAAGCAAGTCACTGCTTTTACTCTGCCATCTTTGCTCCACCCCCTTTTTGCTTTTTTTTATTTTATTTTTTTGTAAAATGGACGATATGGATCTATGCCTTGCATGATTTTTCATGCATAATTGATATCACATTTTTTGCCTTTTCAGTGAATGGGGGAAGGGTAAAGAGGGAAGAAAATAATTTGGAACTCAAAATTTTTTAAAAAATGAAAGTTTAAAATAAATAAATAAAAAATTAGAGGAGAAATAGTATCTTCTCTCCATCAGACTTCTTGAGTATTGTGTTCAGTTCTGGGCACCACATATCATTTTTTTTCCTTTTTTTTTTCCAGGTAGTCATATTTTACTGGAAAACATTGATCTATATTTTTCTTTACAGCTTGAACTGAACACAATATTGCACATTAAAAAAAAAAAGAACAAACCAAAATAAAACCACTCCCCAATAGCCATAGTTTCATCTCACTTTGTTTGCCTGCCATGGACCTTGACTGGGTTTCCACTTCCCTTCCCCTGGGAGGAAGGCACCAAAGGGTGATTCAGGAGAGAGAAATCTGGCATCAGCCAGCCTGCCTCCTTGCCAGACCCGAGAAGGGTCAGTTTAATCCACCTGGGCATTGGGGGTTGGGGGTGTGAGAGGGAGAGAGGAAAAGAAGAACTGAAGGAGGAAAAATGACCAGTCTGCCCATGGCTCCTTCCTAGTCCCAAATGTTAATTAAGAGAGAAACAGTTGTTGGTTAGAAGAGAGTTTGCTAATCATCCTATCCCGTGGTGTAGGGATGAAGATCACTAACAGAGACTTAGCACAGATGTGAGAACCGTAGAGCTACAAGCACAGGAAGTCACTACCGAGACGACCCGCGTGGGGGCTCCTACATCGCTCTTATTGCAGCTATGATGAAGAATGGGAGTTGGGTCATCCCCCACCCCCAAGGTATATATGGATTTTGCCTGAAAAAGAAAAAAAAAAATCAAAAACCGAGCACATTGCCATGCAACCATGGACACGTTCACTCAAACTGCGGGACTGGAGGGGGACTGGAGAGGGACTGGAGCGGAGGAAGCCGGCTGGGGCTGGGATCAGGCGAACGGCGGGAATATTAGCACCAGATATTTACAGAACAGCTCAAGAGATTGCTTTAGGAGTATGGACATTGACAATTCATAAAAAGTGCCGAGGGAGCAGGGACACTTCTCCCCTCCTCTTCCACAGGCCAAAAGTAGGTCGAGTCAATCGCTGGATTATTTGGGAAGAAAAGCTAATGGATTTTGTAATGCTATCCATCCCTACCTCATTTTCTTCACCTTTCCTACCCCCCAACCAGTGTCTAGAATTCCCTTCTCCTCGATTTCAAACATTTTCCTCATGCCCGCCCACTACCCATCGGTGTCAGAACTCTTCTAGGCCTTTCACCATCGCAACCCAAAGATTTTGAACTCAGAACCACAGTGCCAGACGCAAGCAAACATTTAAAGGGTTTGACTTTCCTGCTCCAGGTAGCGACACTCCCCACTGCTGCAGATCCTGATATGGGGCCAGTACTGGTCTCCGAAAACAGGGTGAGAAACCAAAGGGAGAGGAGGAAACCTACAGAGAGCTATGAAGGCAGAGATCCTCTGTGTGTTTTTTGGGGGTAGGGGAGGGTCTGTCTGAGGGGTCAGCTCAGGCACTGGGATGGCCAAGGTTCAGAGAGGGAAGAACGAAGGGAGATCAAAGACCAGTCATGCAGCTTGGGACAAATCTCGTGTTGCTTTATGTCAGATTCTCAGTCGTCTGTCAGGATTGGCTTAGAACCAGGTTATGTGAGGAGGAGTGCTGGACAGAGAGAGAAGAGAGAAGGACATCAAAGGAGAATGGGCAAAACCTGCTGCCCGGGGCCTTCACATCGCGGTCACTATATGCACAAACTCTTAACTTGGCCATCACCATCTATGTCCACCTCTCTGATCATCGTCCACCTCGTCAGTCAGCTTCTCCCCAAGGTTGGTCATCATATGACGAAGCTCTGAGGCACTGACGTAACCCTTCACATCCTTGTCAAAGACGACGAATGCCTCTCGAATTTGTTCCTCGCTGTCTGTGTCCTTCATCTTTCTTGCCGTCGTGGTCAGGAATTCAGGGAAGCCAATGGTCCCTTTTCCATCTACATCCACCTGATTGATCATATCTTGGAGCTCAGCCTCAGTCGGGTTCTGACCTAGCGACTGCATCACTGTCCACAACTCCTTGGTGGTGATTGTCCTATCTCCATCCTTATCAAACAGGGAAAAGGCCTCCTTGAATTCTGCGATCTGCTCCTCAGTCAGCTGGTGAGCCATGACTGGGCACAGGAGCTCTGGGCACCTGGTCACCCCATCTTAAGGAGGGCATTGCTTATCTGGGGAATGTGAAGATGAGGAAAATCAGGATGGTGAAGGGTCCCTAATCCGTGATACATGAGAATTGGTTGAAGGTACTGGATATGTTTAGCCTGGAGAAGAGAAGACTTATGAAAGACATGATAGGTATCTTTAAAGGCTGATAAGTGAAGGATGGATTAGATTTGTGATATTTAGCCCAAGAGAGCAGAACCCAGGACCAATATATATGTTGGACTTGATGGTCCTTTAAACTATCAAATTCTGTCATCTTGATCATTCCTGTCATCTTGGACTTTTGGACCTGTACTGAAGCTGATTCAATGAATCTACAGCAGATAAGTTTATGACAAGACTTATTCAGTTACAAAAAGCAATCATTTCATCTACCTACACGTGTCTGCTGAAGATTAAACATAAAAAGGGCAACTAGGTGGTGCAGTGGATTGAGCACCTGCCCTGAATTCAGGAGGACCTGAGTTCAAATCTGGCCTTGACACTTACTAGCTGTGTGACCCTGGGCAAGTCACTTAACCCCAATTGCCTTAAAAAAAAAGACTAAGCATGAAAGAATGATAGAAAGATAGCAACTTGTCCAAGAATTGCTTCTATCAAATATAGAATAAGCTTTGGTGATAATAATAACTTAGGATCACTGAAGGTACTGCAAAATGCCCCAAATACAATTCCACCCACTACCCAGGCTTTCAGTTCTGGTCCAAGATCACGATTCATCTCTAGTACCTGGTCAAGATAAATGTATGGAGGACTAAACCAATGAGCTGCCTATCTAATTGCAAAATAGAATCTGGGCAATATACATACTTTGTCCTTTTTTGTCTTTTCTTTTCTTTTCCACATGGATTTCATGGGGTCTCTCTTTTCTATGGACATAAAACTTGTAGAAAAGGTCTTGAGATATTTCAAGGTTTTATGCAACAGTATAGTATTGCCTTCAAATAACTTCTCCAGTGAAGGCAACTTTCCATTGTACTTTTTGCAGCTTAATTTCTGTGACAGGAGTCTACACCTTTGCTGAACATATCTCCCTATTTGAGTTTTCAGTTAATATTGATAGAGGATTGTTGAAAAAAGTTCTTCTATCTCAATGGCTCCAAATACTGGAGTTGAAAGGGACCTTAGAGGACATCTTTTTCAGTTGATACATGAGGAAATTGTTGCTCAAACAGGTTATATGATTTGCTTAATGTCACATAGGTTGTTAGTAGCAGATATGGATCAAAAACCCAAAGCTTTTGACTTCAAGTGTAATGCTTTGGAGTTGGAAGTCCAATGATGCTTTCTTCTAGGGCAAATAAGTTAACATGGTTGATAAGTTAGGGGTCCTTAATTTGAGATGGATGAACTTTGCATATGCACGGGGAGAGAGAGAAAGAGAGAGAGAGAGAGAGATTATTTTAACATAATTGGTTTCTTTGATAAAGTCACTTATTTTGCTATGTACTTTTAAAAACATGATTCTGAGATTCTGAGAAGAGGGTCATAGGCTTTACAAGGCTCTCAAATAGTGTTGGTTATTTAAAAATCTATCCTATAATGGGTACTAACAAATAGAAATTTCACCTTCCTCAAAATGTAACCCCAAGAAAAGATTGCATTAAATTATTCTACTTTTCTAAACCATGTTAATTAACTTAATCCAGTCCATTATGTGATTTTAAAGGTGAACAAAAGAGACAGCCAAAGTCAGAATAATCACAATATTACATAAGCCCAATGTCCCACATAATAGATTAAAACCTTGATATATACTAGTTCCATAACTGGCATTTAAATTCAGAGATTCTAAATATATAAATTGATGGCATAAAAGTAATTCTGTACTTTATAAATTTTCAAAAGTAATTCAGTTAAAAATTTTCACTGAAAACAACAAAAGATGTTGTGTCCATGTCACCCAGCCCCCATTCTAGGATGAAAAGAGGGCTAAAAATACTTTGAGAGCCTTATATTCTAGTTGAAAATGTAATATAAGTAAGTCCATGTAAACGTGCCTATCTGAAGCTAAGTATAAATGTAAAAGGAGTTCTTAAAGCAAAAAGAGTTAAAAGTGACTTCTTCAGCATGAAATAACTAGTAAATGTCATAGGCACCATTTACACCTAGGTCTCTCTGAATCCAAAACCAGAACATTATTCTCTATGTAACTCTCCCTATATGAATAGGATAAGTCACTGTATAAATTACAGTCATAACTTATTCCAATCCCAGTGGCTTTTCTTTAGCATATACTGAAATGCTGAAACAATGGGATTATTTTAAATATTTTTATTTATCTTATTTCATGTAATTTCCACAGAAATCATTTTGGAACAAATTGGCACCCTATTATTATTTTGTTAAAGCCCCCTGGACTCTTACTCAAATAGATGAAAAACGTATTGTTTTCTAGAAATTAAAAAAATAATATTGGAATGGAAACTCATATTCTCTAGGATGACTTAAAATATTCTTGGGACAACTCTAATAGCAGACAGGACAATTGGGAATCTCATTCTGTTCCCGTATGATTTTTAAAGTTGAAGTGATTTGCTTTGGCTCATAAGTAGCAGAACCACAACTCATACCCAGGACCACCAACTTTTTTTTTCTCTGAGATTCATCTTTTTAAAAAATATTATTTACTTTTAATTTCAAAAAAAATTGAGTTCTAAATTCTTTTCTTCTATCCGGCCACTTCCCAACCCACTGAGAAGTCAAGCAGTAAGATATCAATTATAGATGTGAAATCATGCAAAGCATATTCCATGTTTGCCACACTGAAAAAAAGCAAAAAAGTGAGAAAGTTATGCTTCAATTTATACTCGGAGATTTGTACTCAGACTTCATCAGTCCTCTCTTTGGAGATGTTTAGCATTTTTTCATCATGATTCCTTTGGGATTTACTTGGATCATTATGTTGATAAAAGCAGCTAAGTCTTTCCTTGTTGACCATCACTACAATATTGTTGTTACTGTGTGCAATAATCTTCTAGTTCTGCTCATTTCCACTTATATCATTTCCCAGTTGCTACAATTGTTTCATATTCATATTTAACAAAATGTAGTTTCCCTGATTGTCTTTTAATTAGGTGTATTTTTCCTTTTGTTTTGTCTGAGATCATGGCATTCAGTTGAAGCATAATAGATTCTTTTCCAGTACCTTATTTTAACTCTGCCTTTCTGTTTCAAGTGTGTCTTTTGTAAACAACATATTGTCAAATTCTCATTTCTAATCCTTTCTGCTATCCACTTCCATTTTATGAGTGAACTGATCCCATTCACATTCACAGTTATGATTACTATGTATTTCCCTCCATCACATTTTCTTCTCTTTATTATTTTCTCTCTTTTTATCCTGTCTTTCTTCAAAAGTCTGTTTTACTTCTAAACACTGAATCCTTTAATCTAATCTCCTTTTTATTATTCCCCCTTTTTTATCCCCTTCTCCTCTTATTCCCTTGTTCATTAAGATAGATTTCTATAATACATAATGTTTCCTCTTTGAACCAATTCTGATGAGAGTAAGGTTCAAGCATTGCCATCCACCTTCACTTCACCCCAATTTCCCACCTCCTCTATAAAAGCCTTTCCTTTTATGCTTCTTTCATTTGAGGATTTTCCCCCATTCTATTCCCCCTTTCCTCTTCTCTCAGTGCAACTGTTGTTCTTATCTCCCCATTTTTTCGAGAACATCCCAACATCACTAACACACAACTATACCCTCTGTCTCTGTAGATTTTTTCTGGTAAGAATAAACTTCTAAGGATATACATATAGATATATGTATATACATATATATATATATATACACACACATATATATATACATATATAATCTTCCCATATAAGAATGTAGCAGTTTAACTGTATTAAATCCCTTATGATTTCTTTATCATGTTTACCTTTTGTTGGTATTCATGAATCTTCTGTTTGATGTCAAATTTTCTATTCATTTCTGCTCTCTTCACCAGAAATATTTGAATATTCTTTATTTCATCGAGTATCAATTATTTCTCTTGAAGGATTATACTCAGCTTTTCAGGGTAGGTAATTCTTAGTTGTCATCCTAGTTCCTTTGAAATATTTCATTCCAAGCTCTCCAACAGATGAAACTCTTAAATCTTGTGTTATCCTATCGCTGCATGCTATTTGACTTTTTTTTCCTGGATTCTTGCAATATTTTTTTCCTTGACATGAGAGATCTGGAATTTGCCTATACTATTCCTGGGAGTTTTCATTTTTAGATATCTTTCAGGAGGTGATCTGTGAATTCTTTCAATTCCTATTTTACTTCCTAGTTCTAGGATATCAGTGCATTTTACCTTTATAATTTCTTGAAATAGGATATTCAAACCTTTTTTTTTGTTATTGTTATCATGGCTTTCAGGTAGTTTAAAAATTTAAATTATTCCTCCTTGATCTCTTTTCCAGGTCAGTTGTTTTTCCAATGAAATACTTCACATGTTCTACTACTTTTTTTTTTAATTTTTGTTTCTTGATGTCTCATGGAGTCATTAGCTTCCACTTGCCCAATTCTAATTATTAAGGAATTTTATTTTTTTCAGTGAGCTTTTGTACCCCCTTTTACATTTTGCCTATTTTTCATTTTAAGTAGTTCTTTTCTTCAGCGAAACTTTGTATCTCTTTTTACCATTTGGTCTATATTATTTGGCCTGTTGGTTAAGGTGTTATTTTTTTCAGTATTTTTGTGCCTCTTTTACCAAGCTGCTAATTCTCTTTTTTATAATTTTCTTGCATCACTGTCATTTCTTTCCCCATTTTCCCTTTGCCACTCATCTCTTTCTTTAACTCTCCAAGGAGGACTGATTGGGCTTGGGTCCAATTAACATTTTTTCTTTGAGATTTTGATTATGGCTTTTTTCATATTGTTGTCTTCTTATGAGTTTGTTTTGGTCTTCCATACCACTATAATAGCTTTTTATGTTCAAGTTATTTGT